AAAACCTGCCACACAACAATGGACACCTGGAGTTAAAAACCTCATACAGCAGCTACAAAAGGTTAACTAGTAAGGAGCAATCAACTTATCCCAGATCTTATAAGAGGCCCTATTGATACATAACTCGAGGCTTTATCACAAGGATCTTATAGCACACTACCTATATGATGGAGAATTTAGCTTATAGTTTCCTGAGCAGATCTTTCCTGGTATGTACAGCCAATGCCTTCAATAGTGGCTTAGTAAGGTTACCAAAGCTAGATGCAAAGAACTAGTCCTAATATCTCATTAACAGAAACTGGTGAGTGCTTTCTAACTGCACTGGGGAGTACCTCATTTCATCACTAACTTTCCTGAAAATAATTTTCAGTTCTTCACTTCATTATGAAGTTAATCAAGCAAACATTCTGCATGGGCAAGCAAAAGATGGGCACCTACAAGGAAATTCTAGAAAGTTAGGAGGACCCATATAAGCAGAACCCACCGAACAAGACATAAAGCAGCATTCCCAAGTCAATGTTTCAGTTTAAACTGGTGAACACCCCCAGCTTAATTCTGTACCCTTTCTCTGGTTCTGTAGAATTGTTAGTAGCAAATCTACTGTCAACTTACCTTGCAAACTATCATGAACATGGTGAAAAAGAAGATGAGGTTAGCTTCAGAAACAGGGAGCCAGTGAGTTTGTTGCAGTGTGAAAAGGACTGTGCCATACAGACTAGCTTTTGTAGGGCTAGAAGAGAAATAAAGAACTTGTCTAGAAGGTTTGTGTACTTTGCATCTGGTCCTGAATGGCTCTTTAAATTCCATTTTCAGTCTGACAGAAAATGTACAGGATAGCTACTTACAAGGACATATGAAGAATTTCATTTGTTTCTGGCTTCCAGACCCCACGCAGCAGTTGCTCAAAGTTAGACATCAAGGCAACACCAGAACCTGTGAAACAATAAAAGCAAACAGCTAGAACTTCCACACATCAGAAGAGAGATCTGCTGACTCCTCTAGATGTCCCAGGTATAAGGGGAACAAAAGTTTCATGACTTTCTTCCCTAACTTAAAAGAAGGTACCCTAAAACAACGGAGCAGGAGAGCGTTACTAGCTTAGAGGTTGGACTAGATGATCTTAGAGGTCCTTTTCCAACCTGAAAATCACAATTCTATTAAATGCTTTCTGGATTCCATGAATTGTTTCCTGATGGGAAAAGGGCATTTGCCTCTGTTCTGTTTACTGATGCACAAGCACTTACTACAAATACAAAACTAAAGGAAAACCAACTAGACCATTTCAACACTGAAAGAATCCCCCTGCAAAGATACAGACAAGGCCAGAGACAGTAGAACACAGGAGAGAGAATAAAGAATTCCTCAGCTCTGCACCCATTAGTGACTCCTAATTCTTCATGCCTCCATTAAAGTTAGATGATGACTCAATTGACAACCATTCTGCAAGTATGAATAAATGTGTGTTCCATGGAATGTGATTAACTGGAGCCAGCTGACTAACCAGCCTGCTGGTCAGCACTGAGTGATGTGGTGACCTTAAGCTTCACTCTCAGATTCTCCCCATCCCTCCCCACAAGGCTGGGTGCACCCCTGCTGCTTTAGAGTATCCCAGGTGTCACCTTTGACCCATCCAGTAGCCATCATAATGAACCACCCGTGGTGGTATTGGTGATGAGCATGGTGGACCCCGGCTGCAATTTTGCGAACTCTGACCACTTCCTTCATCGCCACAAAGATGAGCTTCACAGGCAGAAAGCTAACACACTTGTAGAAGAGGTTCATGGGACAGAAGAATATCAAGTACCTGGAATAAAAATGCAAGGAGTTTAAGGACCCATTTGTTCGTCTTGACCTGGGATGCATAGAGAGGATAAGGAATACTGCGGTGTTAGCCTGAATTATGTCAGAAAGAAAGAAATGCTGGTTCTGTCATGCAAAAGCACACACAACCCCTACACACTGAGGAAATTAAACTTGGAATAACTGTGGTTAATTTGTGCACACTTCACTGACACAGAGAAGATGACGCCCCCAAATCTTCACTGTGTGCCGCTCTCCTGCTATATGTGGTATCAGAGCAGTGCCTGCTGCTTTTGTGGTTTGGCCACGGTCCAGCTGTGGCAGCTATGAATAGAAGTGTCCAGCAGTGTGATTGGCCCCCACCCGTATTATCACAACATTAGACAGCTGGTCAGAGAAACTGGAAACTAGATCTAGAAATACAAAAGACTCGCAGACTACTTCATACCACCTCCACTTTCCCTGGTTCATCCAAACACGATAATACATGTGTCACACAAACAGAATACCTCCTCTCATACAAGGTTTTTGTGCACAGCCAGCAGTGTCTTATGCTTGGTAAGGGAGATGAAGCACAGAGGACTCACCAGATTGCTGTGGCCAGGATGACACTGGAGTTATTACTGAAGTAATGAATAGGTGCTTCTCCAAGTAACAGATCAGCAAGTATGTAACTTCCAAAGCAGTGGAGCATAGCACAAAGCCAGGAGGCAAAAGGGCTCTTACGAGACATCTCCACGGCTCCTGTGAAGCAAATTCTAAATGAGAAGATGAACTCAACAAACAGGCAGAAACTTAAAGACCTTCTAAGACACTTGCCTTGCACGTTCTCCAACAACAACAAAAAGTCAAAGAAAAGTGCTTGTAAAACAAAATGAAAAAAAAAAAAGCGTATTCTGTGAAGCCTGAGCAGATCTGTACCGGATAGAGTCAAGATATGATACACGTGATCACAGCTTGCAGGCCCCCCATAAGGTTTCATATCAACGGACTCATTAGAAGTTTATGAATTGGCTAAGAGTTTATCTCCTACATTTGCTCCTACTTACTGCAATCAGAAAGAACATTTTTTCCCCTTGAAATCAATGTATTTTTACAGTCTAAAAATAAAATGCATACTAGTACCATTCTCTCCATTGCTTCAACCTAGGTGCCCTCTAGAATTCATGAACAATCTGTTTCAGCTCTTTCATTCATAAGATAACCTGTAAAAATAGAACAGTCATTCTTAATCTTTATTTGAAAGAAGGGGATTTGAGGATTCTTCACTGCTCCTGTGCTACTTCGCAAATGCCCTCTAAGTTCAGAAAAGACAACTAGATATTAAAACAGTGTTACTCTTTGATAATACATTATGGTCTCCTCCCACAACCTCCTGTCGTGGGGTAGGAATTTTTTTGTTTGCCTTTTTTTGATTCCCCTAGCCATTTTCAACCACTGCTGTGATTCTTCAAGGAAGTTTCTCAAGAACATAAATTCTCTAAGATTCTTTCATTGCCTTAAACTGATTCCTGAGTCCTTTATGTAGCGTTTCAGATACCTAACTAACAGTGGCCCACCTTACATAGCAGTAAGTGAACCAGCATATGCTAAAACTATGACTACTCAGACTCTTCCATCCCCAAAGACATCTGAACCAGCTGGAGAGACAGTGGAAGCGAGACAGCTGCAACAGCCACGATATGGAGATGGTTCTGTAGGAACCCAAAGTTTAGCTTGAGGCTTCAAATTAATGACGCTTATTTCTCTTTGGCTCCATTAAGCCACGCTGTTCCCACAGAGGAAACAGGACATTAGTGTCCTAAACCCGCTCTTCAGTACAGGAGCTGTGGGATGAGGCAGGGTAGGAATCTAGTGAAAAATACACCCCAGCCATATGCAGTCCAAGTGGATTACCAGGCTCTTAGAGGTATTTTCATGAGAGTTGCCTGTTAACTGTCCCGTTCAGGACTTAATGCTGGAAGACAGCTGTAAGTGATCAGGCCTCGAAAAGCTAGCACTTCTGTTTACATGGAGTTTAAATAGAACAGCATGTCGCTTGTACAGCGTGCAAATCCAACAACGGGAGGACTTAAAAAACTATACCGAAGCAGCTTTTTTTTCCTCAGTCATCGGGTGATTACACTGAAACTGTTCACAACAGAGCAGGAGGGGTGCATGCAGTATCTAGAACACAGCAGAGAAGGCAGCATTTGGAAAAAAACAAGGTGCAGTCAGACCGCAACGGCGGAGAAAGCGAAAGCTGAGATGCAAATCTATCGATCTTTACAAGATAGGCCCAAGGGAACAAACACAGCAAGGTCATTTAGGGTGCTGAGAACAGCTTACGGCTTGGACTAGAAGGTGGAAAAAAACAAGCTTTAACTTACAGCCTTTTTGTGTATAAACAGGAGGGGAGCACAGACACAAAAATTGAGAAGTAACCGGACAGAAATGCCCTAAGTCCGGGGACAGCAGCTCAGGGACTGGGTTTAGACCCTTAATGTGGTCAGAACCCAACAGGGACTGGGATTAGACCCTTAATGTGGTCGGAAACCAACAGGGACTGGGTTTAGATCCTTAATTAACGTGATCAGAACACAACACTGACTGGGTTTAGACCCTTAACGTGGTCGGTCCCCACCTTAACTACACCACGAGATGGCTTTGAGCGACCCCCTTTCCCCTCTGCCCCCACAGCGGTGCCGGGACCCGAGGCTCTGCCTCAGCCCGCAGCCGGGGGCCGCCGCTCACCCCCCCCCACCGCTGACAGAGGGGCCGTGACCGGGCAGCCCCCGGCTCCCCCCCGCTTTCCCCGCCCGCACCGACCTGGCTCGTACTTGAGGTAGAGCACGGAGACGATGAAGTAAGCCGCATCGAAGAGCGGAAAAACGGGCAGGGCGGCGAAGGCGGCCGCCAGCTCCCCGAGCTGCAGAGCTCCCGCTAGATCCATGGCAGCAACCGCCGCTCTCCGCCACCTCCACCGCCACCGCCGGGCCCGTTCTCCGCCTCCTCCCGGCCGCCCCGCCTCGAGGGCCGGGTCCGGGGCGCGGCTTCGCCTCTAACGGAGCTCGGCGACGGGAGGAGGAAGCGGCGGAGGCCGGTCTCGAACCCGGGTCCTCAGCGCGGACCCCGCTCCTCAGCGGGCGGCGGGGGCGCGCGCGGAGCCTCCGCTCCCGGTGCCTCAGGGGCGGAACGGGGACAGCGGGGAGGGAACGGGGAAGGCGCAGGCGCTGCCTCTCCCTCTCCGTGCCCCTGCCCTTTCCGTTTCCGCCGCCGTTTCCGCCGCCATGATCGGGGATCTGCTGCTCTGCGGGTAACGGGGGCCGGGCCCGGGGTGGCGCCGGGGTAACGGGAGGTGTGAGGGGGGTGGGGGGTCCGGCCGCGCCTGACGCGCTCTCTCCGTCTCTCCTCAGGACGCTGCTGGTGAACGCCGGCGCCGTGCTCAACTTCAGGCTGTGAGTAGAGGGGTCGTGGTTGGGGGGGGGGGGGGGGAGAGGCGTCGTTCCACGTTTTTTTGTCGTTTTGGGGGCTGTCGTGGCTCTGCCGGCCCGGCTCTGGGCCTCCCCCGGGGGCGATGAGCGCTCGGTAACGGCCGCCTCGCTTGTCCCGCAGGAGGAAGAGAGACACGGAGGGATTCGGCGAGGAGTCCCGGGAGCCGACAACCGGTAACGGACGGGACCCGCTGCCGGTGCTGCGCCGGCACCCGCGGGTCGCCTCCACTCAGAGCCGCGGGCACGGGGCAGGAACAGGCGCTTTCTGTAGCAATTTCTCGATCAAAGCACGTTTTGAGGCACCACAAGTACAAGTTTAGCCCCCCTCCCCATTCGTTTGAGTGTCAGTTCTTTTCTGGCTGGAATAAGTGATTTACAGCTAGCTAAAATTTGCAACCGAAAATTTGGCTCCGTGACACCTACGTGAAGGAGTGACAGTTGTCGATTTTGACCTCAAACTGGTGACTTGAGAAGAAATACAGAAACATACTTCTCCTTTTTTTCTGTTTTCTTTTCTTCTTATTTTCCTTTTGAAGTGTAGGTGCCTGTGGTGCAGAGATAACACTGCCTGCAACCTGATTTCCATCTGCATGACACGCACACACCGTGCTCCTTTATAGCTCTGCTGAAGGAGACAGGAGGCTGCAAACTGTGCCAGCAGGCTGTCCTTCCCGTTTTAAAAGTGACCCCTTTTTATCACGTATTGTTTATTTTACTAGCCACTCACAGTAGGGATGTACCAAACGTAGTATGGAACATACCTAAAATTTTAATTTTGGTTATTTTCACCTTTTTGTATTTTTATGTTCCTTCTGTTTTTCAAGTAGTGTTGAAAATGTGACTTGCCGATGTATGAGGTACTTTACACATCAAAGTTTGTTTTCCTCTTGATTTTTAGGTGATAATATCAGAGAGTTCTTGCTGAGTCTTAGGTATTTTCGAATCTTCATTGCCTTGTGGAATGTCTTCATGATGTTCTGTATGATTGTGTAAGTAGATATGTGCAGCATCTTGCCATTTGTTTATTGGAAGTCAGATACTTCTGTTTTTTTTCTTGTGTTTCTTTTATGATCTCTCTGTCTTCAGCTCTCTCCCACTCTCTTGTTCCATAATTACATCTCATTTCCCTCAACTCCTTTGATCTTCAAAAAGGTGTTGGCTGATCTCATATGTTTTTTGCTAATATAGACACCGTTAGTGCATGAAAACCTTTTCTCTGCAGTGTGCAAGTCCTTCAGCCTTAGATATGACATCATTTGATTCAGCATTTCAGTGTTATTGTAGTGATGTTGTTCATTTGGGGGTGAGGTGAAACTACCGTATAATAGAATGGAATCAGCCTTGAGAGTAGTCTCTGGAAACTTCAGGTTTTAGTTGTGACAGAAAGGCTAGCAGAATACCTGCTTGCTTTTCATTTGTGAAGCTGTACGCTCTGATGTAGAGCGAAACTGATCACCAGACGAGTGCTGGTGTTTCAAGCTGGAATGGCATTGGCATGACTGTTAGGTTGTACTTGGTTCTCATCTACTTCTTTTTCTGTTGCATCCACTAGGTTATTTGGATCTTGAAAGTCATCCACAAATATGGCTGTTAACTTGGAAGAGACTTTTGGCTGGAAACGTAACTTTTCTATAAAGTAAAAGATGATAACGCTTTCAAAATACAGCCCTGGGACTGTGGCCTGCTCTTCGGTACAAACTCCTAACACATTCAAGGGACAGGACACGTTCATCCTCCTCAGCCAGTCATGTAATAATGTGGCATATGCTGGTTCGCTTGCTCCGGGGAGCGAGCCTTTAGGCCCCTGAACCAAAATCTTCAAAGTATTTCAACCTCATTGAAATAAAGAGAACTTTAAAGTGGTTAGCTAGGCTTAGAGTGCGGCGCCTAGTATGCAGGGTAGAATTGCGGCACGACTGAAGACCACAACCGTAAAACTCTGCATTGTTGGTCACTCCCAGCTCTTGATGTGTCTGCTAATGTCACCATTGTCTAGGTCACTTGGAAGTCACACTTCTTGATTGTCGTTTTTGTAAAGTAGAGGGAAGTATTCCTGTAACTTTGAAAAAACTTTTCATTTTTTCCTCAGTATTCCATTTTTCTTTGGAGAAACAGAAAAGGATTATTTAAAAAAAAAAAAAAAAGATTATCACTTTCTCACATTTTTCCTAACAAAACGCTTTTCAAATTAAAATTTCAAAGATTTTTTTTTTCCTAAGCAATATGGAAGGGATTTTGAATAGATAAATAGCAAAACTAATTCTATAAGCCAATCCTACAGTTTTGGAATCAGTTTGGATTTGGTTGAATAAAGATGTTCTATTTAAGAGTAAAAATAAATTTGATGTTGTGTTCATTCTGGTACAGGAAAAATGAATTCACTATTGGTGTTTTTTTTTTTTTTGAGAAATTTTAACTAGTCTTGTTAATGCATCTAACTTTTTGTGGTATTTTTTATGTTAAATTAGCCTTCTTCATCCCTAACGGTCCCTCACCAGAATAAAGAGAGCGTGGTGCTGGTTATCTTTTAAAAAACAAACTGCAAACTCTTATTGGCATCTACTCAGCCACAATTTTTTTTAAGCTATATGACTTGAGGAGGAGGTAGACCTTGTATAAATGGTTTTAACACCTGGGTTTCAACAAATACCTTGAATTTTATCTGGGTGCAGTCAGGTAGTCAGACAAGTGTTGTGCACTTAAAGCAATTCACTCCAGGGAGGCTCTTTTGTATGACCTGAAGCCTTTGAGCTTTCTTCTGAGGAGGGGTAGTTTAAGGGAAGATGCCTTGCAGTAATGAATGTAGAAGAATGTATGGATAAAAGGATGCTACAAGCACAGTTTGAACTGCAGAGATTTAAGATCCTAGGTTAAATTGAACCCTCTTCCAAGTCTTGTGTGTAATTTCAGTGGTTTTCATTTTAACCTTTTTCTATTTTTTTAAATGAGCAGAAAGAGTAGCATGCTACCTTGCCTTGGCAATCTAAACAAAATCTAGTGTTTTATGTAATTTTTGGAAACATTTTCTCCCAAATAGTCATTAATCTGAGTCTTCCTCAGTGAAATGCAGATGAGTGGGGGTGCGGGAGATTTAATTGCTATTGTGCATAAGCCGCTAGAGGGCCCCTGCAGTCAGCAGAGCAGCACGCAGGGCTCATTTTCAGAGTTTTAATTCTTACTCCGAAAAATGGTTGATCCTGTGCAGAGATGACCTGCTTTCCAAGCGACATGTGGTGAATATGGGAAATGGAAGATGACCGAGCTGTACTGGTAAGGAATATGGACAGTTTTATAACTCTAACTAGGTAATACGGATTAACAGCATGCTGCTGCCTCACAATTTCAATTTTTCCAGAGAATAAAAGTTTTAAAGTTGTCATTCAGCTCCTATGCACGTGCTTTAAAAACAACTAATTGGTTTTAAGCTGCTCTTAATATGCTTTGGGACATCTAAATGCTGGGCTGATTGCTTATTCTGTGTGATAGAGGATGGCTTTCAGTGGAAGCTGTTTGTTACAGATGCTTTTGTACCAAATCCAATTTTGTATTACACACTTCTGAAAACCTGACTTTTTAATTGCACCTTCTTCAGAATCTACAGAGAGCAAAAGTGGGAAGGTAAATACATCTTTAGAAAGAACTATTTGTTCAATTTTTGTAGGGTTAATTCTTCCCAGCTAATACCTGTGCAGATTACAAGGGTTGCCTTGCCTATTTTTATGGATCTAATGAAAATGTGAGGTTCTGTCAGCAAAAACTTTTATTTCTTAGTCTTTTGTGTGTTTGGAATTGGAAATAACTTTTTTAAGGACACATTTGAGATTTCACAACTAAAAAGACTGCATTACCTTCCTCATAATCCCTATTAAGGCCTCAAAACAAACATATGTCTGTATATCCTTTAATATCTAAGCAGTGGTCATGCGAAGAGATGGGGAGAGCACACTGAGATGAGGAAAGTTGATTTTCAACTGGCACAGAACTTCAGGCGGTTCCTTTTCATTTTCCAGCTGGCCCTAAACCACTCGCTGAACCAAGCTGGGAGGGCTTTCCCTGCCACCCAGTGCTGCCTGGGGATTGCTCTCCAGGCTCTTCAGGCATACGATTCTATGATTTCCTCCACATTTTGGGCATTTTGCAGAACCGCAGAATGGTTGAGGTTGGAGGGGACTTCAGGAGATCACCCAGAGCACATTGCACAGGATGGCGTCCAGAAGGGGGTTGAATCTCCAGAGGAGACCGCACAGCCCCCCTGGGCAGCCTGTCCCGGTGCTGTCACCCCCACAGCACAGAATTGTCCCCTCAGATTGAGCCGGAACCTCTGGGGCTTCACTTTATGCCCGTTGCCTCTCCTCCTGTCGCTGGGGCCACCTGAAAAGAAACCATCTCCACCATCTCCACCCTCCCCTCAGACACCCGTTCACGAGATCTCCCCTCAGCGTTTCAATCTCCCCCATATTCGGGGCGTTTCCCCCATATTTCAACCGTTCCCCCCCCCCCCGCAGAACTCCGTCGCGCCTCTCTGACGCTCGGAGCCTCCCCCACAGCCTTCGAGCTACCGCTGCGAGCCGCGGGGACTCCCCGTGAGGCGCTGGGACCGGCGGCCGCCGTCAGCCGCGGCCCCGCTCCCCTCAGCCCCGCGGGCGCCCGCGCTCCCCCCCCCCTCCCCCCATTTTCCCCCCCCATGAGCTTCCCTCCCCGCGCGCATGCGCGGTGCGCGCGGCGGGACGTCAGGGGCGCGCCGTGCGTGACGGCGTCGGGCGTGTCCCAGGGTGCCCTGCGCGGGGCTGGCTCCTGCCCACAGTTGAGTTGGGCCCCGAACGGAGCGGAGCGGAGCCGAGCAGGCGGGCCCCGGCCCGGTCCCGGCCCGCCGCGGTTCTGTCCCCGCTCCGAGCTCCGCCGTTGCCGCCTCTCTCTTCTTCTCTTCTCCTTCTGCTCCCACCCCCCGCGCCTCGCGGGGAGCGAACATGCGACTCCGGCTCCCCGAAGAGGCCGCCGCCGCCGCCGGCGAGTGAGGAGCCGCCGCCGCCCCGGCCCGGCCTGGCCCCGCCGCCCGCCCGCCGCCGCCGCCCCGGCCGCAGCCGCCCCGCTTCGCCCAGGCAATGACAGCGGCTCCGGCCCCCTCCCCGCAGCAGATCAGGGACCGGCTGCTGCAGGCCATCGACCCGCAGAGCAACGTGAGTACGGCCTCGGCCGGGCCCCGCGGCTCCCGGAGCCGGCAGCGAGGAGACGGCGGGCGGCGGCCGCCCGGCCCGGGGCTCCCCTCACCGCCGCCTCCGCTCCCGAGGGTCCCCCCGGAGCCGCTCCCCCGCCGCCTCCCGCCGGGCTCCTCCCGGGCACCGGAAGCCTCCGCTGCGGGCGGTAGCGGGGAGCTCCCCAGCGCCTTGCTCTCACCCAGGGGGGCTCCGGTTGCCGGCGGCGCCCTCCCTCGTCCCCCTCCTTCTCCTCAGCGGGAGCACCGGAGCCTTTCCCCGGCTCCCCACAGGGCCTCGCTGCGCCGCGTTCCGCCTCCTCCCGGTACCCCCGGGGCCGGCCGGAGGTGCCCGGCCATGCGGTGTGCGGCCCGGCGGCCTCCCGACGCCAGGCCGCGGCTCGGCTGCGGCCTGCAGGGGGCTCTGGGCCGGGCTCCCGCCGCCGCCGGGACCTGCCGGGGGGCGCCCACCTGTTCCTCAAGTCCCCCGCTGCCTCCAGCCGCGGTCACCGGGCCGGGGAGGCGGCCCCGGGTTTCAGGGGACACCCGGAGGGCTTCGACGTTGGAGTCGGGGCTCTGGAGCTGCTCCAGCACCAGGCAGCCTCGGTCTTCGCTTTTATCCTTCCCTGCAGAGCGCTAATGAGCTTATCTGCTCCTTTTGGGATGTAGTGTAAGCACAGAAGTCGGCGTGTGTTTCACCAGTAAGTGGCCTTCACGTATACACTGCAGTTATCCCAAGCGTTATATCCTCCTTTTAATTTTTTTTGGCGTTTTAAAGCAGTTCTCGGGTGTTTATCACGGTGAGAGGGCTGCACAGCCTGCAATCTGTCAGATTTCTGTGATCTTAGCTCAGCAGGCACCGCAGCAGGACGTGAAGGTGCGTTTGGCCTGGCCATCTGCAGTTTGTCGTGGGGGCAGCCAGGGGTGCGTCAGGCTGAGCGTTTGCATGAGTGCGTGGTGTTCCAGGAGGCTGGGTGTACAAAATGGTGTTTTGGCTCTATTAAAGTCGTACCTGCTTCTCCATGAATAAGTATTTTTTGTAATAGATGTATGTCACAGTCTCGTAGTAGCTAATAAAGCTATTGCCATTTGGAAACGTTCTGAAGCAGCTTGTACGCCATGTGAAAACTGAAGAAAAATCACCCAAAATCACCCTGACCTTGTAACTTCTTCAGTAATCCGCTGTGATGTGCATTTGTCACGAGCGGCGATATCGCGTGTTGGAGTAACAGTAATGAATTATCATGGTAATTGTGGGCTTTTAAATGTCAGAGTTGTTTGAGTTTGAAGTACTTTAACTTGGTTCTCACTGAAATGTCAGTCCATGAATTCTGTTTGCTCAGGGCTCTCTTCTTCTGGTTGCAGATTTTTCACTTGGTGAGGCCAAGTGTCAACCCAGATAAATACAATTCCAACAGGTCTCTGCTTTCTCTTAACGTCCAAACTGCTGGTGGCACAGGTTACCCTCCTTCTGGTGCTCTGGCTGTGTGGAGTTAAGCAGCTAGGAGGTGCATTTTGTGATGGATATGGTTCCTTTTTCCCCATACATTCTGCTGTGGAAGTGCTTGCAGCTTGGTTGTGATGCAGGGGACCAGAAACAACCAGGCAGCTGTCTGCAGGGGGAAGTTCAAGCATCAGCCCCAGCTCTGCTGAGCTTCCTACAGGTCAGTAGCCCCATAAGCTTAGGAGTAATGTATGTTAAATTATAATTCTACATACTTGATACTTATCCAGGGCAATAATTAGCGGCGGAAAAATCAGCCCATTGTTCAGAAACGCCTGTAGGCAGGGGGCTGTCTTCCATTTTAACCTCTTCTTCGAATGAGAGCAGAGGTGGTGTGGAGATTCATTGTGCAGGCTTAGAGCTCAGATTTTTTTCTCCAAAGCACTTACAATACATGGCGATCAGAAGCTAAAACTGTCACACCGTTTCTGTGAAGGGAAGAAAAAAATCTGACTTTTGAACGTGCTTAAAAGCAGATTTTGAATTCAATCTGAGTCCCAGGGTAGAGGCAAAGGAACTGTTCTGGTGTTTTCCCACAGGAAGAAGTCACTGCAGGTAGGAGCCGCAGCACTTCTTGGTGCTCATGGAAAATTGTGGCTACTTTCTTCTGGCTTTTAGAATCTTCTGTTAAAAGAAGTGGTTGCATTCAAACTTAGAGTATTCATTATTGTGATTGACTTCCTTGTTTACCGAGAAAGTCGAGCTTTGAGGCCTGGATTTCTTTCAGGATTTTCAATATAATTGTTGGTGTGAGCGTGCGTGTGTTTCTGGAGGAGGAGGGGTGAAAATTGCATGGATATTGCCAAATGTGTGAAAACGCAGTCCGGTTTTGTGAGGGTGAGGAGGGGGTTACGGTTCTTTATAGCTTAATCTGATAGTACCCCACAATCAGTTTAAGCTTCCCTGATGTGTTCTCTACTACAAGCCCCTCCACCCATGTGGAAACCCACTGCAGTGTGCCTCTAATGGTCTTTGGAGTTCATACAAATCTCAGATAAGTCAGAGGTCATGCCTTAAGGGGAAAAAAAATCCCTCTCCATGTTTAACTGACCAAAAAAATCTTTTCCCAAGTTTTCAGAACCTGCTTGCTATGAGGAATCATCTTCTGTGCCAATCGTTCATCTTTAACTGCTGCATCAAGCCGTGCTGACTCAGGAGCGATGCTTTAATTGTACACAAGCACTTAGCACTTGAGACCTCTTCTAGTAATTGCTGCAGAATATATTTATAACTTAGTTTCGCGCACTTGCTTCACAATTTACATGGGTAACCTCTATTTCAAACGAGACCTATAAGAAATAAGCTATTTAAAAAAAAATTACATCATCTTGGAAGCCACCCGGGATGTCTGGGTTGGTGTCTTCGTTTATTCAGCCTTTTCACATCAAAAAAACCATATGGGCAAACTGCTGCGTGACTTAAACACTAAGAATCAACATCGATTTCCTTCCAAAGCTTGTGGGTTAGCGGGAATGCACCGCGACTTGTATCGGAGGGAAGAGGTTGGTGTCAGCACCCCTGTGATGTGATGTCCCTGCAGGAAAATCCTTTTCCTGGGAGAAACACCAGCTGGAGAAGCGTCCGATGCTTACTGTGGTGGTTGTGTGAGGTCTTAGAGAGGAGATTTCCTTGGTTCTGGTAGGAGCAACGCTGCCCTTCGGGTTTGCTGTGCGGAGAAACCACCACTTCCACCTTTGCCTTGTTAAATTGTGCTCTGTGCTCTTCAGGGAATTTGTTACCTGATGTCAGGAATAATGAGATCGGTTCGGTTTTGCTCCGCGGGAAAGCCTGCCGCTTCCAACTGGCTCTTAGAATTGCGCTTGCAATTAAATGGTTCCTCGTCCTGAATATGTAGCAGTCTCCACATGTTAACTATGAGACAATAATTTAATTATTTGCCATTAATACTGCTTCGTGATGCAGACCTGGCTTTGGTTTGAGTAACAACCTGCTGGATGTTCATGGTGGGGATTGTGTTGGCTGTAAATCGGGCTGCCGTGCGTGCAGCACCTCAGTTGGCCTTGCTGCACAGACCTTCAGGAGATGTCCCTGATCCGAATTATTAAAAAATAAACTGGTTTGGGTGTTGTATTAGATTTAGTAGTGCGTTGGCCCAGGGTGATCTCCCAGTTGTCATGTGAGTTGCATAGGGACGCTCCCGTGGCCGTTCTCGGTATCAATTGATTTGCCAAAGTCTAGAAACCAAAGCCTCTATCACCAGCGATAAATCCACGTTCTAGAATTGACTTGAAAAAGGAGAGCTTCCAGGAGAAGGTGCCAGACGTCGCTCTAATAATATAAATGTTGGGGGGGAAGGAAGGCAGCACTTCACTTCGGGAGGGTCTCGGTAATTTCTCTAGCTGCAGGGAAGTGCTGTGTGGGCGAAAGTAGACTAGGCATGGCTTTTCCTTTAGCTTTATCCTTTTCTGCGAGGCCCTTAATGAGCTTATCAGTTTTCAGGAAGCTGCGGTGTGCAACGAGACTGGAACCTGCTGTACCTCTCCCAACTTCTTGGTTCTTTATTGTAGCTCGTCCTGTTTCCAGGAGCAATCCCAAATCTCCTGTGCATGGAGGCAGCTGATTGTTTCAGGTGTGTGGGGAAACAAGCAGGTGGTTGTGGTGTTCCCTGATGTGTAGAGTCTGAGTGGGGTTATCACATCGGTCCTGGGTTCCAGAGAAGGATTTGGTGCCAGCTGTAGGAAGTGCCAATGTAGTCAGTCTCCTGCTAATTTGAAATAACTACAAATGAGGTTTTTGATGCTCTGTATTGTCAACAGCTGAGTTCACTTAACTCGTTGGTTTGCGGGTGGAGATACTGTTGGTTTCTTGGCCTTGCCCTGCGGTTTTACTCCCTGTCCCTTACCAAAACAGCCTGCAAACTAATTTGGTTTGTTTTCCTTTGTGCTTGCTGGAAGTTTATTCCACCAGTGCCGGTGATGCTCACGTAGATACTGGGTTTAACTGGTCTGAGATAGAGCTTGCCTGGCTGGTCCTGGGCAGCTTGTCACAGGTGGCCGTATAGTCTGTGACTTCTGGAGAGGATTTTTTGGGGTGCTTACAAGCTTTTTGTTTGCAGTTCCCATTGCAGCAGCACTGTCACAAAGCTTGAGGCTGCTGTGACAGAATCGGAGCGGAACAAAAGTCGCAGTGAGTTTGGGTTGGGGGGTCCAACACTGGGAATGCCCAAAATTTCCTTCCCATTGTTAATTCCTTGATGATGGCAGTAGTCATTTGTTCTTAAACTGTAATTTGAATGTTTGTTTTGGCGGCAGTGACAATTTAAATAACACCCACTGCTTATTCCTGCTACCTACACCCCTTGTACGTGTGCTGCTGCAGGAGTGTGTGGTGAAATGAACTCGGGGATTGATCTGGGCTAAAAAAAGGAAAATAACTTTTTTTTTCCTTGGTAGTTTTTGATGTTGCTCAATTACCTGATGCAACTTGTGTGTTGTGAGTAGTCCTGGCCCAGGTGTGGCAGCAGGAATGGGTATTAAAGTGCTTAAATAGGTTCAGAGGCTACGGAGCGGCGTGCTGCTCACTTCCTCAAGCTCCCCTGCTGCCTTCTCTAGGGAAGAGGAGGCGTTACCGTAGGAGTTAACTGCGCCTGTCGGCGTGCTCTGAGATGAGAGCGGGTGCCTGATGATCAAGTTTCATTTGTGGAGTCTTTCTGGGGTGGTTTGGAGGTGTCTGGAGCTGTTCCTGCCTTGTTGTTGCGCTGTAGTAGCGCAGTGGCCAGGCACATGGACCCAGGAGAAGAGCTGGGCAGCTTCCTTCTGGATGTCCAGGGGGAAGTTCCTGGGCGAGCTTTGCAACTGGAGAGTAAACCACTTTACAGCAGTGGCTAATGCTTCAAATAAACCAAAATTAAACTGTCTTGGCTTAAACTCGCATGCTTACAGAAGCTGGAGCTACCAGCGGAGCTGCACCCAGCGGCAGAGCGGCTCCGATCCCCTTACTCTTCCCCTCCTCCTGCTCCTTCCTCACGTTGGGGCAGCCGATAGAGCCCACCTGGCCCTGCTCTGCCTGCACAGAGCTCACCTGGCAGCCTGGCTCTGGCTCCTCGTGGCTCAGGAGAGGTGGTTTTGGCACAGAGAGGTTGGTGGGGACTGCAAAGTGAGGAGAGGTGAGGGTGGGGTGGTGGCAGCCCTGGGTGGCACAGGCTTGGGATGTTTAAACCCGAACAGCCAAGCTTTGCAGCAAGCATCTGTCTGCAGGTGTGGACCCTGTGATTTGGACACTGAAGTCTCTCGGGGAAGATGTGTGGGGAGGGAGACGGCTGTAACAGGTTCCTCTTGGAGCCACGGAGCAGTTTACTGAATAGAAGAGCCAACTTTCTGTAGGTAGGGTAAACATCTGGAATAATTTCTCCCAGTCACGGTGAAACACGGAGTGGAAAAAGCAGCTGATGTGCAAGGTGTGCATCCTTCCAGGAGGAGAGATGCGCTGAACCCAACTTCCCAGGCAGCAGGGAAGCTGAGGCTGCGGTTTCTCAAGCAGCTCTGACTGCAGGCAGCTGCGTTCCTGCAGCCACCAATGTACCCAGGACCCCGGGGTGAGCCTTTCTGGGACTTTGGGTTGGCACTGGAAGAACCTGGGTGAGTGGGGAGCCCTGAGGCAGCTGAGCAGGGGGGTCCCGGGGGTGCTGGAGCTGGTGGGAGGCTGCAGGGTGCAGCTGCAGTGGCTGGCAGCGTGAGCGGCTCCGGCTGCCAAGGCACTGCAGCCTGGCACTGCTGTGGGTGGGAGGGAGGGAAAATATTTGCTGTCACGAGCTCCCGAGTGGGCAGAGACCCAATTTGGGGCTTCTAAAGCATGAAGACCCTCAGCTTAGCCCATGTTTCTGAAGTCTGGGCTGGGGAGAGAAACTGGAATTTGTCAGTCCTGTTACCTTTTGGGGAACCAAGTTAAGGGTGAGCCTGGGTTAGGAGAGTATCAGGTGTGGGCTCTTGCATCTCTCCGGTGTTTTTGGTATCAGCTTTTGGCATAACGGTGCTGTCACTCTGACACCTTCACCTCCTGATCGAAGCAGTGTCAGAGCAACTGAAGCACTTCCTCCCGGTACCCTGGGAGTGGAGATCCTCTTCCAGTTCCTTCAAGGAGCTGCAATGAGTTTCATTTCTGCAGGAGCCGTAATAATTTTCAGGATAGGAAGAGGAGGAG